TGCTGAGAAATAAGTAAGTTAAATTTGATGGATAAAAATCTTATTTTTATTTGCCTACTTGTGTTTTAATCTTTCTTTTGCTGATGTATTCTTTTTTTTTCTAGCAAAGAGTTGTTTTTAACTTCTCGCTTTTGCAATATTGAGTAATTAGCTGTATATTTGAATACTATAGTAGGTAACAAACCTCAACTGTTCGAAGGAAGTTTGAAGAAAGTAGATGGACAAATCGAAATCTGAGTAAAAGTTTTAGAGTGAATAAGTACAGATAATTTAAACCTGTGTAAAATAGAACACTGTCCCTTTTATCATTATTTTCAGTTAAGAAAACTAAAAGTAATATAAAATTATAAAAAAACAATGCCTACGAAATACGTTTTGTCAGACCTAGTTGTAACTAGTTGTGAATATAAATGAGAACAAAATAAAGGAAATTTTCTACTTGAAAATTTACATAGATATTAATATTAACGATATGTATACGTTTAGGAATCGAATACGTGTTAAGTGTATGGTTAATATATATAATTTGTTTTCGTGATTCAAATTTAATTATTTCCAAATAACATAGTACAAACTAGTTTAATATCTACTTCCTCTAGAGCACATACTAATCTTTGCTATGTTAAGTTTATATATACTCACAAAAATCTAGATCAAAGATTGTTATTAAGGAATAATGTTAGTTCGAAGAGCCTTCTTGTAAAATCGAAATTATGAAAACCAATAGTATCACAAATTTAAATATGAATAAGTCTAATTTAAAAATTGTTGTGGTAATTAAGCTTCATTTTCTCATTATTTGTTTTAGTCGTGTGGTAATTTCAAAAATAGACTGGACCTCAAATTTCTTTCTTTTTCCAAAATGGAGACAGTTTTGGTAACGGGTATGTCATGAAATAGTTTGCTCACTTAAAATATGGAAGAATAAATTAATATTTTTAATATTAACCATTCTTGAAATACCTATAATAATGTAGGTTTCTTGTGGTGAGTAAAAACTGCTTCAGGCTCCTTACACTTAGAGTTATGTTTAGTTTAAAGGAATATTGGTTTAAATCAGTTAATAATGAAGTATGAGTGAACGTAAACTTTGTATAAATTTGAAGAGATGCATCATTATTAATGAATACAGATGCACATGTAAATCAATATAATTTTTTTTACAGACACAATTACAAAATTCTACCGAGTGATTATTTTTCGTTAGTATTCATTAATAATGATGCATTTTTTTTCAAATTTATACAAAGTTTACATTCACCCATACTTCATTATTTACTGATTTAAACGGAGTCTAGAACGTAATACTGTATATTACTCAAAACTACTTACTTACAGTTTTCTATAATTGTCATGAGACATTACTATTAGGCCTATTACATTTGTAAGCACTGCATTATTTGTCTAGTCCCTTAGGGATTTTCAAGTATTAAAAGATTGTATAACAATAGTATTTCAACCACATTGTATTTGTCGTATCCGTTGCCGACGGCGTGTTTCGCTCAATGACAAGTATAATTGTAATTATAGTATTTTGGCACTTGTGTATAAAGTTAAAATCATAAATAATATTCAACGTTAAACCAGTTTAACGTGAATATTATTTATGATTTTAAGTTTGTTTGTTTGTTTTTAATTATGTACAAAGCTACACAAGGGCTATCTGTGCTCTGCCCATCACGGGTATCGAAACCCGGTTTCTAGTGTTGTAAGTCCACAGACATACCGCTGTGCCACTGGGGGGCGTGTTTTTAAGTATAATTGTAATCACTCTTCGCCGGCTTGTAAAAGGTGTACACTCCATAACAACTACCGTTGCTTCAAATGACTTACATAATTAATATTCTGACTATTGTTGTGTTTGTTGTATCCAAGCCAGCCTAAAGAGCTCCGGATTGAGTGAAACATGTCGTCGGTAATGGATATGACAAATATAATGTAGTTGAAATACTATTGTTATGCACTATTCTAATTCTTGAAAATCTCCAAGGCATTAGATAAACATTGTAGTGTTTAAAAATGTAATAGGCCTAATGCTAATGCCTTATGACAAGTATAATTACAACCATTCTTCGTCGGCTTGTAAAACACCGTAAGAGTTTACTTAGCTATTCTTTTTTAATGGGATGAGATTTCAAATGTTCAACATCTCATCTTCTAATTTGTCAATTATAATATTTATTTTACAGTACTAACAATGTTCGACATTACAAACAAAGCTGTTTTTATATACCACGACATTAAATAACATTACAAAGAAAGCTGCTTTTACATACTCCAACATTTTAATAACATTACAAAGAAAGCTGCTTTTACATACTCCAACATTTTAATAACATTACAAAGAAAGCTGCTTTTACATACTCCAACATTTTAATAGCATTACAAAGAAAGCTGCTTTTACATACTCCAACATTTTAATAACATTACAAAGAAAGCTGCATTTACATACTCCAAAATATAAATAACATTAAATACAAAGGTTAAGGTGGAAAGGGGAACTTGTCCCCAATGGTTTCGACCGGTAGCAATAGTAAATGTATTTAGTTTAGTTAATTTCGTAAACTACATTGGATCATGGATAAAATTCTTGTGATTTGTCCAAATATTTCATTTTACAATCACAGTCCTAACATACAAATTCACAAACAATGGTTTGTGCGGCCAGCCCTTTTAGGCTTAATATCTATGACTGGTCCCATTATTTGAATAAACCTAACCAATAACTGTTCTTGGTCTCTAAATAATCGATTTAAGGTATTCACTTCCCTTCCCCAATTCAAACTATATGTTGTTTCTTAATTGTTTTGAACAACCATTCTTGCAATTCCTTTTAATAAATAATCATTTTCGAATGTTTGTTTCACCAGAGCGTGAAAGAAATAGAGTATCTTCTAACCTAATTTTTCCGGCTCGTCTAATCTCACTTCACTCAGTCACATGACTAAGCTCGCTACACCTACAGCTTTAGGTACTACACCAAGACGTGTTTCCCTGCTACACAAATTAATGACAACATTGCAAGTAGATGGTAGGCGTTCATATATTAAATAGACTAATAACGTATTCCTTTTAATCCTTTAGGTCGTTGTTCTACTAAATAAAACATTACCATCATGAGAACTGAGTGTTTGTTTAGTCACAGTTACTGACAACATATCGTCGTTGTAATTCCTATTATTACTAATTAAATTTCATTTATAAAAGAACTTAAGTTACATAAAATGGCAAATTATTAGACTAGTCCATCTACACAAAATGTTTTAGAAACACGAGTTTTGCCACCTGTTTTTTTTTATTATTTTCAATCATTTCTCCTCAGATTTTCAGACAAAAGAAAGTAAAACAAATACCAACACTTACATCTGTAAAGAAACATTCTTCAGAGAAAGTTTTAAGTATAAAACTATAAATTGTTCTTTGCCCAGAAATTTCATTCATATTTCTTTTAGGCTCAGACCCTGAGATTATGACTTTTATTGGTATAAATATTCGAGCCATGCTTTTACCAAATGTATTGAAGGTAATTAAGAAAACTGATTGTTGAAAGGTAGGTTTTCCTTTGAAGGAATTGTTAACTGGAATTACATGCTGACTTTTCATTATATATATATTATTTCTGTTACTTGACGTATATCCTTTAATTAAAACGAAGAGCCCGAGGCTACCGTAAATGGGCGGAAGTAAACAAAAAATAAAGCAAATAACTACAAGGCCCAAATTAAAATAACAGTCAAGGAGAGAGGAAGAGGTCAAACATGTACCTGATCCTCCCAGGTCTACACAAAACCTAAATTCCGATGATGCTCCGATGTGGAGGGCCGGTATAGCAAGCCTTATAACATATAATTTCTATTACCAGAGTGCAAAAACAATACTAATAGACGGTGGCATCTTGCTAAAAGTATAGACTAACTGGTATCAATGTGTCTTTGATACCTTTCTCTATTGAGGGTATTCAGTAAAGAAGAAATGTCTTTAAAACATGATGTACATGAATAAAATGAAATGACTAACTGAAAAATACCCCTGTTCTTCATAACATGACGAAACTAAGTAAGTAAAAAAAATCAACAAATATTATTTATAATTAGAGCTTCCTTATTAAACACTAGTATTAAATAAAAACAAAATAATAAATTCATTTAAATCATTTCGGTCGTCACTGTAATAACAGTGTGAGGGTGAAATTAAAATTTACACATACATAAACAGAGGTACTCTTACTAGTTTAATATAGGAAGAACTAGAGATATCTATGAACACAACTCAAGGGGTCTTCGACTGCAAACTTTATGCTTTAGGAATTTTTATGGTGAAATAGGGTTTCAGTAAAGAGTTAGCAAACAACACGACCCGTTAAAACATTGAGTAGACTTCTGCATGTATGACTGTTTTGTTGAATGGGTAATTAAAAGATTGAAATTTATAGCTTTTACTTTCCTGAATTATCCCCTAAACCTTTAATAACATAATTACAAACGTTTCGTTGGGAATAGTATGTTTAAATAGTTAGGCAAATTTGCTTTGTTGCGAGTAAATAGAGATTGCACATGACGCAATGGGACATTCATTCGTTTCATTAGAAATATGTAGTCAATTTTTCATGACCCAAATTGAATTTTAATTACAAATTATGTTCAGTTGTAGACACACAGAGAAACGGATACTTATTAGAAAATTCTAGGACAATTGGTATTTATGGTATCTGTAAGTGTAAAACGTGTTACACTTGTTTGTTGTGAAACAGAGAAGGAAAGAACAGTTGTGCGCACGCGCAACATGTTCACTTCTCCAACTTACAGCCGGAGATTGTACCGAAGCCGATATAAAAGCGCGTGACCACGCTCTCTCATATAGTATGCCGCCAAGAATCTCTTTCGCGACGGCTGCTGATCCCACGTGTCAGAGTAAATAGAAACATAAAAACTTGTAAATTCTTTGAATATACTTTTAGCATGAATATAGGTTTAGTTTCTTTCGTCTAAAAGCTGTACTCAGAACAGTGACCAGAACACTGTAAAGATGAGGAGGTCCAGTCACACAGGAAAGACTTCCGAAGCTCTGTTTCTTATTTTCAGCTTTTTGGTCTTATGTGTTGGTTCCCAGAAATCTCGAAGGTTAGAAAGTTATTCTTTATCCATTAGTCTTACGACATTCCTTGTACATAGATAACTATCTTCTTATAAGGGGTTAAAGGTTAATATATTCGTGTGAGTTTATTTGTTTCTGTATTGTAAGAATGATTCAACCAAATTACGTGTTTGGTTTACAAAAGAAATAATGATTTAAAAGTGCACATTGTACACGTATGTTTCTATAAAAGAAAGTAACGAACATTTTTGGTAAATAATTCTTTTCTATACATGTGTATTTACCAAACAATTGCCATTTGTGATATCCCCATAACTCGTATGATTCATAATCGTAAAGAAAATCCTTGTTGTTTCCCAGTTGAGATCTTAAAGAATGTGTGGCAAAACTGGTTAACAATAAAGCAGAAGTAATTATTGTTCTAATAGTGTTATAGCACAAAAAACATAGAAATCACCACACATTTTTTGAACCACGTTTTTGTCAGTTAAGGAACATATGATTAGTGAGTAAAATCGTGTTCTTGCTTCATGATGTTTCGTGATCTTCCCCAAACTTCTTAAAATATGTTAGTCTGAAAAAATGTTTTTTCTTTTGATTTTACTTAATCAGGTTTGATGTGACTTTAAAATAACAACTGATATTTTATGAGACATCATTTTATATTCAAAATACTGTGTATTTACCTAATACAAATGGAATATCTTAAATATAGCAATAGTGTATAAGTTATGTAGCTGACAACAGCGCTTTTACGGTGTATACAAATCTGCGAACTTCTGAACATCAAGTTCGTTAGGGTTGCATACTGAGAGGTGTGATCATAGAGAGAATTATTTAAATAGCTTGTGAACATGTTGATATTTGTCACATCTTTGTACAATATTGACGCATCAAAAGTCATGCAGAAAATGACATTGTTGGAAATGTTTATTTTCATGCTTCGCTTTACCTATAGCGACATTATGTATATAATAGCTTCTGAATTATAATTGTGGGCGTCATTCAAAACGGGGACATGTTGTGACGCGTGTGGTAGATAATATACACAGTAATTCAATAACCACGTGTGGTGTTTCCAATACAATGTGTGCGTATTTTGGTCATATTGAAAAAACAAACAAAAAACTACAATAATAAGTTTTTGGTACGAATGACATTTAATGCATGTTTCTTATCCAATATAGGATGAATACGTTATATTGAAACGATTTGGAGTTTCACCACGTCGTTACAGTCCATATCACCACATCCAATAATACTCTATCCGTCGTCCGTGTATATTGGCAATAGCCCTTCAGCGTAGTTTCCATTGTAAGGTTGTCATGTCAAAAGAACACCACTACTCCCTGTATAGTGTTCATAATCTAGCTAGTGTGCAAGGACGACAATTTCCCATCATTCCTTTCCACAGTTCGATCGCAAAGAAAGTTATAGGTGCTTCATCGGTATGTCTTACTACAAAATAGAATGAATACCTGTTTCATTCTCCAGCTAGCTTGAGGTATGTGGCAGTTAAACGGATATGTTGTAGAAGCCGCTTCTTTATAGTGACAAGTGTCGTTTTTCCAGAAGAAGATCCTTCTTGATTATATTGCGTAGTGCTACTTGCGACACCAGAACGGCTTACTAACATTTATCTTTGTGAACTCTCACCTGTTAGAAGACACCGAACTTTGCTTACAAGGGCTGAGTTATTACTTGTTTTAAGTCTCTTTCTGGGTGGTCATTTTTCCCAAGTTGATCCAACGCCTTTGATTTCCAATGCTATTAAGTAGAAGGAATATCCCCGTCTCGGAAATTCTAGATCTTCCAATCTGAACAAATGTACATGATCTGAGTGTATATATAATATACTCAACTCTCTTAACTCAGTCAAACCTAATTTATATTCATATCGTTCATATTTTGGAACAGTATGGAATAAAAGTGTAAATTAAAAGTCAAATCACAACAAGCATAGAAACACATTTATTTTCAAAATAATACAGTTTTTACAAACTTGGCCTGAGCCGACATCGCATTATAATCAAATAACATTCTTCCACACAACAGATTCAGGACAGATACGAAAGAAGTATCTTGGTAAACAACTCGAGCTGTTTGAATTTCCAAAATTAGATTCAGTATTTCGAAACTGAAATTATTAGTTCTTGAATAGCTCTCTTGATTTTCTTTATATGTCTATTAAGTACAGTATAGTTTTCTTATTCAGAGAATGATAAAATGTTTGTAAACCGGGTAATTATTCCTCAGCAACATGTTAAAAAATAGTTAAATATTTGTTGAGTAAACAGACTTACAAGTCTTTATTGTACTTCAGTTTTGTTCGAAATGTTATTTTCTCGGTCTCTTCCATCATGCTATAGGCTAAGCCTATAACTCCCACTTACATAAAAGGTAAGCAAAATTTACAGTTAAGCTTCGATGTTGTTATCAGAAAAATTTCCCATCTGAAATATTTTCTCAATCACGCTGCATTAGGTACCAAATCAAATTTCACATGGAGTTCGACGATAGGTACTTTCATAAATCTACTTAATTAAAATGCATAGGTCAGTATGAAATGAAATTTAAAGCTTTAAACTTAAATGTGACTTGACGTACTTTAACTGGTCTTGTACCTGACAGAGGTTGCCAGATCAGCTGTCCATAGTTTTATCAATACTTCCTTGGTCAGAAATCTGGGTAAGTATATGAATCGTCAGTTTTTAACTTGTTCTTTGATAGAATTCACCATTACTATTACTGACTGGTTAATCGTAACCATTGTTTAGCTCAATGTACGGCGAATTTATCTAACATTTCAGTGTTTATAGAACAGGAAAAGGCAACCAGTAGACAGCACCCTCCACCTGAAGAGGCTACTTTTAGCCAATTAGTGGGATTGGCTGTCACTTTTATAACGCACCCATAACTGAAAGAATTTAGGTGTCAGCACGATATATCTAACCCGAGACCCAGTGATCCTTGCAAATTAAGCTTACTAATAGGCCATGCTCGGGTCTCAATTTTTGAATGTGTATTATTTTAAAGTTTACTCCACAAATTGGCCCGCTCGACTCGTAATCTGAGGGTCGCGGGTTCGAATCCCCGTCACCCCAAACATGCTCGCCCTTTCAGCCGTGGGGGCGTTATAATGTGACTATCATTATAATCCCACTATTCGTTGGTAAAAGAGTAGCCCAAGAGTGGGTGGTGATGACTAGCTGCCTTCCCTTTAGTCTTACACTA